GTGCTACATCCGCGAAGCACTATCTCCGGGCATTGTCATTGCCAAATCGTTGATAAGGGTTCCGTCATTACCTAACTACAAGGGCTGCAGTCCAAGATTAATGAAACTAGTGATACACTCCGACGGAATGACGCAAATTCTATTGGATAGTTCGTCAAGGTTTGAGCCGGGTTGCTAGCCGAGATCCGGCTAAAGACAGTAGGCACATGACCACGATTGGTAAGCAATTTGATGGAACTTGCAAACGCCGTAACTTCTTTGCCTGCTGGTTCCTGCGGACAGATCGACACAATAACACCCACGGCATGCAACAGGACAGAGCACAGCACGAGCGAAACCTCTTTTCAGGAACGCTCTACGACGTCATGCAACGCTCAAAACTTATAAACCGGAAAATGATTAAAGGCCGGCCACGCAACGGTCGGCTTAAAAACAAACACAAATTAGACACCCATCAAGACACTCCTAACATCGAAAACCCTATCCTATCTGTGCTCAAACACCAAAAGCTTTTTAAGTAACTTGACTGAACATAGAGTATTCCATGCCTTACAAACGCTTGATCTCGTAATGCTTACATAGACCTGGTTGAGTCTTAAGCTAACCGATTCTGAGACCAATTTACCAGGTATGTTGCTGCTTCGGAACGATAAAACTGGAAGGGATAGTGATGTGGTTCGTTATGAAACTATCGAGTACCCAGAAATCCGCGCTCCTGATTCGCTTTAGTTGCGGAGCAAGAACACAAGGCTACTAGCCCGAATTTACTGCCCACCAAACTCTACGTCGGAAATGGACTCCAAACTGAACCACGTCTTTCAGCTTGCTTTGAATAAGTCCTACACCCACATTCTTATCTCTGGAGACTTAAATGTGCACGACATAGAAACGCAAGCAACCGGTGGTGTGCAGTTGAAAGCCTGCTTGTAAGTGCTAAGTGCTAGCCACCCTCTGTACAACCGGGTAACCTATCCCACCAGTTTTCGAACTGCTAACAAGCCGTCGATACTGGATCCTGTGCTCATTAAAGAAAACTCATGGTCGACGGGATAGTTACAACCACGCTATCGTGTCACAGTTGCCATGTTACCCTGTTCTTTGACCATATATACTATGCGGAATACCCTGAAAAGGATGACGACAAAGTGCATACTGTCACGCACTACAACGTGTTATCAACGCTTGTTAAGATTACATATTGAATTTTCCTAACCGAATTCCACTCAGACGTCGCCTCGAAAACGTTCACAAGGACTTTTAGCGCACTGGTAACGCACGGATCGGAACAGAAATCCTTCCAACCTCAACTCAAACATAAGCCATTTCTGAGGAGCAGAACACGTAAATGGATGTCCCGGAGGGATTTGGCATGGCGAGATCACCAGGAATGCTTGAATGCCGAAACCTGGACGGCATACGTTGCACATCGGAACTTCTGTGTGAAAGTGATCTGCGAGGACAAGGTTACGCATCAACGGGAGTTAAAGAAGCAGTTCTGCACGAACCGCAAACCTATGTACATGCACGTTAACAGCCATCGTATGATGAAGCGCGGAATTCCAGCACTGGTCACTGCTATTTGGTGCACGCGGTCATCAATAGTAGCAGCCGATCTCCTACGGCTTCATTACTCCCAGACTTATCATCGGGCAGAGGCCTTTATGTTCTCCTCATTTCTATTACTTCACCGTTGAGTATATACAACATCACTTTCACTGCGGAAGCTGTGTTGGGGAAGTTGTTATCATTGCGTTTCCACAGTTCTCCTGGAGTCGACAACATTCGACTGAAGGCTCTGCAGGCAGTAGCTAGTGATCTAGCATAACCAATGTCCATTTCCTATCAGCGATGTCTAGAGGAGAACCATATTCCACCAGTATGGAAGCGAGGGGTCATCACTCCTATCCATAAGGGAGGTAGTCGTACTGAAATTACCAATTACCGTCCAATAACGATGCTTCCAGTGTTATCCAAAGTTATGGGATCAGTCATCACAGATGCGCTGGTGCAGTATCTGTAAATCCACAGGGTAATAGTCCCATAGCAACAAGGCTTCCGTTGGGAGCGTTTATATATTACTAACCTATTAATTGTGCGTGATGGCTGAACTGAAGCCGTCGATGATGGATCAGGAGTCGAAGTCATCTACCTGGACTTTTCATAAGCGTTTGATCACTTAAACCATCGAATTCTCCTTCATAACCTTCGGAACTACGGCATTGGCAACCCAATCCTAAGTTGGAAAAAGCAATTTTCTACACGAAAGTCAGTTAGAGGTGAGAGTCCGGGAATCTCTGTCCGATGCCAGTGTTCGGTGCTTGGGCCTCGTCTATTCTTTATGTTCATTAACGGTTTGAAGTGATCAATTGCTTCCCATTTCCTATTTTCGTAGATGATATCAAGATGTGGCGAGGATCAGAAGACCGGGCGACCAGGAACAGCTCCATTGCGATCTTAACACGGTGTCGAACTGGTCAGTTCAGAACTCCAACAATTCAACGTAGACAAATGCCGCACTGTGCAACTACGCCATAAAAATGACTACACGTATTTGCTTGGGACACACGAATTTTAGACCAGCTCCTAAGCATGTGAGTTAAATGTGCTCGTACATCGCGACCTCAACTGTTCAAACTAGATTGAAGTAGCTGCGAAAAGAGGCAACCAGCACCTCGGCATGCTGCGAAGGGCATTCGGAAAATGTGACCTATCAATCTTCCCAATGATACACAATTCCTAGGTGCGCCCACACGTTGAATATACTCTCCAAGCTTGGCAACCTTAGTCGAAACGTGACCTAGAGGCATTAGGGGCACCGCAACGAACAGCGACAAAGAATGTAAAGGGCCTGCGTAATCACTCTTACTTCCGAAGGCTGAAGTTGCTTGGAATTTTCAGCGGACGCTTCCGAAGGCTGCGCGGCAATTTCTTATTAGCTTACCAAATATTGTGTTACCCCAACCACGTATGCCACTACTTGCTGAAACAGCCACAGTACGCAGCTCAGAGTTAACTGCTTAAAATTGGGAACAAAATAGCCGTTTAGAGTGTCGACTGAATTACTTTCCCCTTCGGGTTTGCCAACCATGGAACGCACTCCCAGACTCATTTGTATCCTCCCCTACTTTGGACATTTTCAAAAAACGATTGGATGTTGCGCTTAGCTCCCAGTACTTTGTTACATTGACTACGCCAATCTTTCCCTTCTATAGGATTTATGTGTCGTATGAACCCAAGAAGGCGGCGCATAAGGGAGCACTACATCAATGGTCACTGCACCCCATGTGTTTCATTCTGTATGGTTGCACTAGAGGTTTATTATACACTGATGTTATTTATCAACGCATTTATCTCGGTAGACGCACGGTAGATGACTCACATATGCTTTTGCTTTCATTGTATCCACCCCAACCATCCTACGAGTCGTGTCTAGCACTTGCTTTTATTCCATGATAAAACATTGTTCATTGTTATTCGGTGGTTCATCTCCAGACTGAATTTTTGTGCTCGGTGGACTACGTACGCGAGTCCTGTATTGTTGTCCATAAACCACAGTTTGCATAAACGGAGATCAGTGACACACGTTTGCGGATCATCTATGATTTCACAACGAAGGTTTCTTTCTTAATAAATGATAACTCCCCCTCCCTAACCGTTCTGTCGTTCCGGAGAACTGCTATACCGGGCAGAACTATCTCAGCCTCGGTAATCTCACAGTTCAGCCACCTTTCGGTGATCGCCATGATATCACGAATCTCGGAAGCCTAATGGTAACGGGGTTCAATCAACAAGGCCTTGTGCGTTAGTATACAAGCAAATCAGTTTCTCAATAACCAAAAGTGAATCATTCGATGTTGGACTACGATTGGAGATTGTGCCGACCGTTGAGGGGACGTAACGCACCTTGCGAATTTATTGACATGTTTGTAAAGTGGCTTGTGCTTCGAACAGAATCGTTTCGCCAACTCCTGCTGGTGTGTTTTATTATCCTCACATATCAACTGTACAGAATAGTAGCGTTGACGTACATACGCTACCCAATTTTCTGAGCTGAGATTGCTTTGATAGGTTCACCATACCCATCTTGCAACTTCATATATTTTCGTGTTCGGCTTCTTAAAAAGGATTTTGATTTGGGGGGACGAAGGGAAGCTCGTGGCTCAAGTGATGTTGCGACTAGCAACGTGAATGTCTTTACGAACATTTTCTAGGCTATTTCTGCAATGAATTTGTGAACGTCCAACTAGCGTTTTGCGCGAATGCGCAAACTACGTGATAAGTTGTAATATATTGCATGCTCTCGGGCTGGCCATTTTGATTCGCGGTTTGATCATACATCCTCGCATTTCTCGCTAAACGAAATAACTACGCTGGCCAATGTAGATTGCACTAACTAACAGTTTCAGTATAGCAAGGCGGCTGCTTGCATTATACTACAGAATAATATCATTAGAATACCAAGGAATCGAATTGCTAGTTGGCACAATGGTACACCAATAACTTTCTTTCATGATATTCGTGTTATAACAGTCCCCGTGGAGTTTCCTTTTGTATACCTGTTACCGATTCTAGTTACCTTGCCTGATGCTCGACTATTGAGTCGGGCAATTGTTAGGAATATTGGCGGACTCAAAATGTATGCTGCTTTGTATTCGTACAACCCCGTTAGACCTCTTCGATCTATTTGCTTTTCCTTGCTCGGTAGAAATCCATCTATCTAACCAACATTTATATACTTATGCAGCCCGGCTCTGTGGTTGCTGAGGTCAATTCGATATTTCGCTATTTAGCCCACTAAAGTATGCCATATCATTTGGTGCATGAAGAAGTCGGAGTGTGACGATGAGGTAGAATTCCATGGTGGATGTGTTCAGACTCACGATAACGAAAACAACCTCGCACACTGACTTTCGCACAGTCGAACTTGTTTTACTTGATTTCGCGTCTTGAAGTACTCTTGACAAAGAATATACCAATTACTCAATGAAACAGAAACAGTTCCGTTCAGCTTTGTGTATTATCTCAGTGCCGAGAAGTTTTCAATTCTATGTACATAACTGATGAAAATGCCGAAGTTGCACAGCATTTATACGCGTCATTGATTTTATTAGGAGAGTAGACTGGGAGCGGTGAAGGAGTTGAACGATGTTTCTTCCGGAAGCTTATCAGTGACGCATTTCATGGAGTATTTTACATTGCGCTTGTGAACGTTTGATTGTTCCTAGTTGGCCTCCGAGTCACGGTAGCGCACAATAGTTTGAACTCCGGTTCATAACTACAGAGACTATGTGGGAGTCTCAAGGTGCGTCAAACAACGGTGAGAGAAGGTAGGATATCAAGTTCCAAAAGTTTCAAGTTTCTGAAAAAAACAGCCACTTTGGTAAGACTGGTGAAGTGAGTCGGTATATCCATCGGGCATACCAGTGAATGCCGTTGTGGTAAACTTTGGTCTGTATAGATTTCCACCAACATGATATAACAAAGTAGAAATTTAGTGGCAAAGTGCTTAAGTACGCAATCCTTTCGTTCGAGAACTGAGCAAAACTTGACACGAAGACATCGTCTACAACTAATGTACCCGTTTGGGTTAGCGGAGCGTACATCCCCAGGTCTTCTTTGATCCATTCATTCTGTACAGTTATGTTAATAATGACACCTTTACACGAGCTTCCGTTTAGTTTAGGAGTCACCAATATAGAATCCCCGGATTTGAGCATAGAAGCGAATACAGCAGCTATCTGTAAGCGTTTTCCTGCTAACCTGGACACATAAATGAGATGGTTTGGTGTCAGCTTGAGAAAGGACAATCTTCCAAGTGGGGACCAGGGCTCATTACAGACGCTTTCGAAAGTGACTTTCACCATCGGCCTCCACATATGTTCGTCTCTGTGAATGAAGGCTACAACTGAGGTAGGCAGCAACAAATTAGTAGTGGTGTCCAGGGTTAGAATTCGATCACCGATGCTTAGATCCCTCATCATGATGACGGTTCCATTTTCTTTCGTTAGCTTGGCAGATCCGGGGAAGCATCCAAACCATTGCGAAGTGATACTGGAATCTGGAAATGAAATGAAATCAAACAAAGAAAATATGAATACATTGAAACTGTTAAGTTATCCTCCCCTGAATACTATAATGACAATTACCTTAATCATTTATATTTGGAAAGAAGACTCAAGCCAGCCTCCTCATCCCACATAAAAGAAGTAGTTTTTAACAAATGAGGAATGGTGTAGTGGTGCACTACAGATGTACTTGAATACATTTATCAACTTGACTACATTATATATTCTTACCCCATCAGTAGTTTTATTCTTTAAGATATATGCTTCATGTATCTAATGTTGACAAGGACTTTCAGCGTGAACCCTTGGACTGAGTGCGGAAAGCATTCAGGGTTATTCACGTCTAGACCAGGGAAGTGTGGACGATAAAATAGCAACTTCATTGCGCGTGCGATTGTTTTACTACTAATGCAATAAAGGAATGCTATTAAAACAGGTCTGCGCACTATCCCAGCTTAGAAGGATAAGTTCAGAGCTGAAATCTAGATTGACAGCTCAGGGGTGTGCAGTGAGATATTCCGGTTTTTCATATAATCCAGGTGTTTTGATATTATCTGCCCACTGAAAACCCTGTATATGTTTGCGCACGAAATCTGTGGGAATTACAGGTTACGCTAAGGAAGAGTAAACTCTTAGGCTCATAGGTGGGAAAAATATATGAAGTAATTACTGGGTCGTTGGCTTTTTACCGCTCATGGCTGAAGCACTGACACAACAGGTCAAACACGCGGTATTGGCGCAGACCTCTCCATTTTACTATCCACTTCAGGAGATATTTAGCAGCGGCATTAAAGGGGTACAAGTGCAAGCACATAGTATCACCGACTGTCACAAGCAGAAGTATTTTAATAACATTTACTCCATAGCTGCTTCCATCAAAAGGTCATCACAGAGCTTACTGAGCTTATGGCAAGTTGTGCGCAGAATTTATACCAATAATCATGCTCGATTTTAGCTAATAATTCGTGTTTCGAGCTCAGAAAATTTGGCACCTCACACCTTGTCAGCTACCGCACCCATTTGTTCCATGCTAAATACAGAGGCCAAAACAACTCCAACTTGGCAGGTTAGTGCAATATCCAACGGTGTTCACACTCAGTAGGTTGCGTTTTGTCTAACAGGCACAGACTGAGTTTGATCCTCCAATTCGCATCGCACACACGAGTGCTTACACGCATATGATCCTGCCCAAACTATGCTACTTAATACACTCCACCTTTTGGATCTACCTTGTGCGGATCAGTTTCTACCGACATATCGTAGCTTCTCCTCCTTCCAGCAGAAACATCCGCGCGCAGTTTTCCAAATCCTGATCCGCACAACGACATCATCATCTCAAGCGAAAGTCAAGTCCGAGACCTATACAACTAGCCATCACCAAAAGCTGTCGACCATTAAGTTCAAACCCATCGGACATGTTGTGCCCTTTATCGCTCAGTCGCTTTGTTTAGTCCTCATAGAGAATTCTGAGTGAACGATCCTGCCAATTAAATCTTCACTCGCATGGCTCTGTGACGCGTCGTAACGTGTTTAGGAAGTGCAGGCATCAGCAACTGTCAATTCAAGGCACAGGAATCTAGGTAGCAGCGCGCACCAACCTTGAGTTACAGACAAGCGCTCAGTTATTGACCTGAACGGTATGATCGACGGACACGTGTCGCAATGGCTTGGGACGAAAAATCAACCGAAGCCGAGCCTAACGAGCCTAAGATGAAAGTAATAACGGCTTCCATTTAGGACAGTAATAGGAATCAAGTCTTTCAGTTACCTCACGAAGTTTCCTTCTAGGTGTACCAAGCTCTGTAAACCATATAAAGTCGATAATGACAGACAAGATTCCCTGTGTTTAGGTGAACTATGGGTGGTCATCCCACTAGTTAATGCTGTACATGAACAGTCTAGGCAACAGGAAAGACTGGAGGTAACGATTGAACTAATGAGGAACCATATACTGGCTTCACTAAATGAAAGTAGTTCAATGCCCACCTGCAAGAGCTCTCTGCATTTCCGCCCTTTAGTCATGTCAGTTCACGCACCAGATCCTGAGCTGGGAACAAATCCCCAACCCTTGACTCAGTGCTTACGAACGAAGGGCCATTATAGTTGGGCCACCAATGGAGAGTCTTTTGGGGTTGTGTGATCAAGTAACAATAAGGCTAAGTGTGTTATGCATAGTGTCCACAGAAATACACTGATTAATTTTCGTACAATCGCCATTGCGACACATTAACAGAACTCGTCGGATAAGTCATCTGGGCGTTTTCAGGTGACTGTCCCACTGATAATGCCTGGCTCGATTAAAGTGGCGATTTAAGTGATCGGATCATATCCGCATTGGAAATAGGACCCTCGCTCTGCGTCAGCTCCAGCATGCATTCGGAGCAGAAACAGAAAACGCATGGTGGTGAGAGACCAGCTGAGCGTGCGTACAGAGCAAATCCTTGTCCTGACAGCTGTAGCAACTATATGATGCATCGTAAACGCTTAACCAGACTTGTCCATTAGGACAAATAAGTACTCCATCGGTACCTAGCGAAAAGTTCTTGTGTCATTAAGTAGATACTGGCAAACATACGAACAGTCTGCAGAAAGTGAAGTATGGCATACCCCCACCCATGTCAGCAAATGGGTGTGCTCACTGTGCTGAGATTACAGTAAATATTCTGCCGTAACAACACGTTCCAATTATCAGACCCGTCAACAGGATGTCACATACCTGTCACGTTCCCACAGGCTTCAGGATTTTCCCACATAAAGATTATTCAATAGACTGTTTGAGGAAGTAGCTACCGTTACATACAGTAGTTCATGTTGGTTAATAATATTCATCTGAAAGCGCAGGAGGTAGCACCTGCAAAGCCAGCCTAATCATCATGCTAATCTTTTAAAGATGGTTTGAGGAACGGCAGATGCCTATTCTGTGGAAGCAGGGATTTTATTAGACTGATTTTCAAGGATGCAGATGTACTGAACTCACCAGCTAATACTTTTCGCATCAACTCGAATTTTTGCCGTTGCTAATGATGTTAAGTCATAGTGGACGACGGTTACTCAGGAAGATCACAATCTTTTTGCAACATGACATTTGTCGTAATTTTGAAAGATCAATGACTAACCTACTGTGTAACGCGGATGGGTGTAAAATATTGCATGCATTCTATTAGTCAATTAGCAGTTACAGACTGGTAGACCACATCTTAAAGATATGCGCACAGGAGCGCGACCTTTGGTGGTGAATCAAGGAAATCTCCATTGTTCGGATCAGCCCAAGCATGAGTCTAAAGCCGGAAACCAACATATTGGTCTGTTAAAGAGGGCGTTTAAATGGTTCGAAGCTTCCTTTTTCCTGCAAATGCTGAACGCATATGTGAGGCCGCATATGGAGTACGTGCTTTAGGCCTGACTAAGACGCGTTGTGGCTGCCCTGAATGCCTCACAGCGAAAGCCAACCAAATATGTGTAGTAGTTAATTCATCTGTCACTCCTGAGATTGAAGGTCTCAGGAGTGTTCAGCGAAAGTGCTCATTGTGTGCGGAAATACCTCATTCTGGTCCCTCAGATTTTGCAATATACTTATTCATGTTTTCCGCCACCTCAATCTTAACCGCCATACCAAAGTGAGGGACACTAGCTGAAAATGATACATCCATACTGTCAGCTAAAATGCACCCGGAATTCATTTTCATAAGCTTTTGCCGTTGAGCATTGTTCCGACTTTCGTCATTTCTGCACCCAGACTACTCCTTACCAAGGACGACTAGACCATAAATCACGCCTTCCGCATTACGGGGTTCGACTTCCACTCATCGAGTGCCGCGAATTGCAGATGAAGCGTTACCTCACCAGCACTCGCGAAAAATGGGGTAGACGGATATACCGTCGTCAAGGGGGATTTATATCCAGTCCACCAATGCGCGTCCTCTCTACTCTCATTTTCTGAACTTATGTACTTCGCACAAACCATCCCACTAGCCTACGAAGCCTTGGCGTTTTTATCCACATTATACTATTTTCCCGTTTCCTATTGCTCCATGGAGGTCGATTTGCAATCACCATTGCTTATGACTCTGTACGCTTGCGGTCATACTAAATCGACGCGGCTCTGTTGCTGAATTTACCACATGCAATTCTCGACGCGAATTACTTTGCTTACACTTATCCAACACCGGTTTGCCAGCGCTATGCAGTGGATCTAGCACTACAGGATTGGCTTGCACACACCTTCGTTGTATCCGTTACTACAATTTCAGCGGGGTTTCTACAGAAATCCAGGCGCGCATCAACCTCATCTTTGAGTGCTTACCATCAATTGTACCATCCTTCGGCAGATTACCCTTTGTGCTATCCAGCGATTCCTTTAACACAAAAATGGAACATTTTGTTTGATAGCTGCTGCTCATTTAGCAGCCAGCATCCTAACACTCACCAAACTAGCCTGAATTCTATCGCGCTCGTCAAAGCGCAAATTTCCAACAAGGCAAATATAGCCTGTTCGACAGACAAGAGGCCGCCGCTAGTATCAAAAACGTAGGGCGTTGACCACCAGCAGCTTTATATGCAATGTGGTCCCACTCGTAAAACATTGTTAACCAACCTCGTGTACCTGTCCAACACGATCGGCGATCGCCCTTTACCCAAGTGACCGAAGCCCTAGGGAATGTTTTGCAACAGTGTAACAAGGGAACAAATGTGTACGCCATCCAATCAGCCGCAGACAACAGTACTGTGCGATTCGAAATCATGCGCCAAGACTGCGAGTTGGAATACCATGTATTAACTTCAATAAGAACTTCCATCCCAAGTGAGTAACTTTAAGTGTAACGAAAGTGAAAGAACCACCTGACACACCAGACTCAATTTGACTATGTACCGAGTGTGTGATCAACCCACACGTAAAAAGGAACCACCGCACTGGTACGGAAATGTAACAGTAAGGGCAGTTGTACGGCGTGTGACGGCTGGTATAGCCTTCTCATCGGAACCAGCCTCCGCA